GTTGGGACAACTGGCAAACCATGAATAAGGTCATAGATTAAATAATAGCATTGTATCAATGTTAATTTTCTGACATCAACCATTGTTCATGATTATTTAAGAGTTATGTCCTTGTTCTTAGGAAATACACACTATTGTATTTGTAGGTAAAGGAGCATTATGTGTGCACTTCACTCTCCAATAGTTAAAAAGTTGTATATATGAAAGAGAAAATGCGTCAGCAAAAGGGGTGAAATGCAAACAATTGGGGAATCTGGATGAAGGGTCTATGAGAGTTCTTTGTCCTATTCTTGTAACTATTCTGTAAGTCAAACATTATTTCAAAATTAAAAAAATTACCAAAGGAAAAAAAGGCTCACAGGAGTTGATGTAAAAAATTTTCTTTCCTATTCAAACTATTTTAGTGAAATCATAGAACTGGTAAAGGAAAGTTCTTTACAGAATTCCAGTAATAAGTGCAGGAGGAATAATAGAATTAGAAAACCACCATCTTAGCAAACCGTAAGGCAATGCTCATCAATGAATGCTAAAACCATGAGGCGGGATCCTGGAGGGATCAGGCTGACACCGCATGACTCCTCTGGCCAATCCTGGCACCACTAAACGTGGCACTGGGACTTCCCTGGTGGCGCAGTGGTTAAGAATCCACCTGCCTGCCAATGCAGGGGACACGGGTTCCATCCCTGGTCCGGGAAGATCCCACATGCCGCGGAGCAACTAAGCCCGGGCGCCACAACTCGTGAGCCTGCGCGCTAGAGCCTGCGAGCCACAACTACTGAGGCTGCACAGGGAATGCACAAGGGTTCCAATTTCTCCAATTCTCACCAACACTTGTTCTTTTGTTTATCTTTCTTTCTTTCTTTTTAAAATATTTATTTATTTATTTTTGGCTGCATCAGGTCTTAGTGCAGGGTCTTTAGTTGCGGTGCGCAGGCCCTTCGTTGCAGCACTCGGGCTTTTCTCTAGTTGCAGCACACAGGCTCAGTAGTTGCAGCACACGGGCTTAGTTGCCGTGTGGCATGTGGGATCTTAGTTCCCCGTCCAAGGATCGAACCCATGTCCCCTGCATTGGAAGGCGGATTCTTAACCACTGGAACACCAGGGAAGTCCCTCATTTCTGTTTTTCTACGGGGTTTTTTTGGATAATAGCCCTCCTTAAGAGGTGGGAGGTGGTAATACCCAATGTTTAAAAATGTCCTTGTGTTTTCATTTTTGCTTCAGTGATATATGTATTTTGTAGAAACAGACAAACTTTATGGTGATTTAAGTTAAAATCCTCTTTGTTCTCCTTCCTAATTCCATTCTTCTCCCTTCTTCCCTATCTGTCATGAATGTGGTTGTAACCAGGCCTTTTTTGGTACTTTTAGTACATGTGTGTGTCTCAGCTTGTGCTCCCCAGAGAGCAGAACCTGAGTCGGGACTTGAGTGCAGGGAGTTTATTTGGGAAGTGTCCCCAGGAAGCAGGAGTGAAGGAGTCGAGTGTGAGATGCTGAGATAGGGAAGGAGGAAAAGCCAGTGAAGGGAGCGTTGTTGAGCTGTTTCCTCTGTGAGCAACCAGGCTCACGCCTGCTGGGGACCAAGCAGGAGGGCCCCAAGGATGGCAGCCTGGGGCATTTATCCAAGATGCCTGCATCCCACTGGTTGACAGCTTCCCTGCACTTCCAGATTGCCCTAAGGGCTGAGTCCAAAGAGAAGAGACTATGGAAGGTGCTTGAGGAGGTGTCTGAACACAACAGAGTTCCTGGGGCAGCCGGCAGGAGCTAACAGAGGGTCCTTGGCCAAGAGGGTCGGTGAAGCCAGCTGCAAGGTTTGGGTGCCAGAAGCATCACTGTCCTCGAGGGACCAGTTCTGGTTCTCCAGGCCTCCTGGTGATCTAAGCTCCAATTTCTTTTAAATATATTCCTCTTCCTCTTGAATCCGCTGGAATTGGTTTCTGTTACTAGGAGGAGCTCTGACTGATACCGCGTGTAAGTGAAAAACAGTAATTCCAACGTTCACAGAGATGATCTCCTTTGCTTGACCCCATCTTTGGTGTCTGATATCTATATTATTTTCAGAAAACGAGGCGATGGGAGTCTCATTCTAGCTTCCCGTTTACTCGGTTGCCTGCTCATCTCCCTGATATGAGACTCCCTGTTCATTTTTAATGTGGTCTCTGTTTGCATTATGGGCTGGGGGGTTGCCAGGTGGGTGGGAGGGAGGAGTCAGAAGCAGAAGGTGGCTCGATAGCATGTCTTCTTGGGGAGGGGAGCTTGGCGCTTTGGGGCTGGTCCAGAGGAGCGTGGGGTGGAGAATCCTGCAGTTTTCTAACAAGCCACCCTGCTGGTGGCCCCAGAGGGACCCTTGCTCCAGGAACCCACCACTCCTGGCTGCGCAGCACCTCTGGAGGGAGCAGTCCTCTGCAGTACACGGCTGTGGTTCTCTTCTCCATCCTAGCCTCTCAAAGTTCCTCAGGGCAGAGGCAGTTTAGCTAAAACCCCTCAGGTCTGCAGCCAGCCTCCTCCAAATCTCAGATTTGAATGCCTCCTGCGACATACTCACCTGTCACATTGGGCTAGTTACTTAGCCTCTCTAGGCTTCAATTTTCTTATCTGTAATATTCAGGTAATAATCATGATGGATGCTTTGACGTGCCACCCAGATTCCCCATCAGGAATGAAGGCTGTTTCCCCCACTGTCAGCCCCTTTGGTGAGCTGCTTCACTGGGGAGAACAGCCAGCATCTTCCCCGGGGAGCAGCTAGCATCCACTGGCCGATGCACAAGGTTGTATTAAGGCCTGGTCCTCACACCCCATAGGCTCTGAAGGGCCATCCCATCTTCAAAATTCCCCACAGGGTCTGCTTCAGTCTCTATTGAGGCTGTGTCGGATCCAACTTCTCCCTCGACCCAGTCCTGCCCCTTCCCTTCCTCCCACGAGTGCTGATCCCAGGAGCACTCCCTAACGAGCCTCTTCTGCGCAGATCTCCACTTCGGAGTTGGTTTCCCGGGGGCCCAAACTGCCACACAGCACTTTTCTCATAAGGACTGTATCATACAGAACATCAAGTTCTCATCACAGAGCCAGGCACAAGCTCACAGTAAACATTAGTTGTGTTGTTACACACCCAAGGCATGTCTTTTTTTCCTCTCATGGTTACAGATTAAAAAAAAAAAATCAAAATATTACTGAGGCGTCCACAATACGTGCTCATGTTGCCGCTTGGACTGGAATGCCACCAAACAGAACCAAGAGCACACCCTGTGTATATCAGAATCAAGAACTCTATATATGTCAGGTTTGTTGAGGTATAATTCACACACGCCATCCCTCTATTTGAAGCAGTCAATTCAGTGGTTTTTAGTATATTCACAGAGTTGTGCAAACATCATCATGATCAGTCTTTTTCTGTTTCTCGGGGCTTTTTGGCCACACCATGCGGCATGTGGGATCTTAGTTCCCCAACCGGGGATCGAACCCGCGCCCCCTGCATTGGAAGCACAGAGTCTTAACCACTGGACCGCCAGGGAAGTCCATCATGATCAATTCTGAATGCTTTCATCCCTTCCCCTAAATACCCTGTACCCATTAGCAGTCAATCCTCTTCCCTGCCACCCAACCCCCAGCCCTAGGCAACCACTAATCTACTTTCTGTGTCTATAAATTTCATATAAACGGACATTTCATATAAACGGAATGATACAATATGTGGTCTTTTGTATCTGGCTTTTTTCACTTAGTATAATAGTTTCAGCATTCATCCATGTGGTAGCATGTAACTACTTCATTCCTTTTTATTGCTCAGTAATATTCCATTATATCGATTTACCACATTTTATTTGTCCATTCTTCAGTTGATGGATGTTTGGCTTGTTTCCACCTTTTAGCTCTTATGAGTAATGTTGCCATGAACGTTCATTTGTAAGTTTTTCTGTGGACATGTTTTTTGTTTTTCTTCAGTTTTATTGAGCTATAATTGACATATAACATTGTATAAGTTTAAGGTGTACAATGGATTAATTTAATACACATATATTGCAAAATGATTTCCGCCTCCATCACGTCACATAATCACCATTTCTTTTTGTGGTGAGCACGGGTGTATGTTTTCATTTCACTCAGGTTTATACCTAGAAGTAGAACCGTTGAGTCACATGGCAATTCTTTGTTTAATATTCGGAGGAACTGCCATTGTTTTCCAAAGCAGCTGCACCATTTTACATTCCCATCAAGAGTGTGTGACTATTCCAATTTTCCCACATTCTCACCAACACTTGTTATTGTCTTTTTTATTATGGCCATTCTAGTGATCCTGAAGTGGTGTCTCCATGTTGTTTTTTTTTTGCGGTACTTGGGCCTCTCACTGTTGTGGCCTCTCCCCTTGTGGAGCACAGGCTCTGGACACGCAGGCTCAGCGGCCATGGCTCACGGGTTTAGTTGCTTCGCGGCATGTGGGATCTTCCCAGACCGGGGCACGAACCCGTGTCCCCTGCATCGGCAGGCAGACTCTCAACCACTGCGCCACCAGGGAGGCCCTCCATGTGGTTTTGATTTACATTTCATTTGCCTGCTGAACATCTTTTCATGTGCTTATTGGCCATTTGTATGTCTTCTTTGCAGAAAAGTCTATTAAGATCCTTTGCTCATTTTCTTTTAAATTGGATCATCAGTATTTTTTGAATCTTGTTTGCTTCTTCTGTAGAAGGAGAACGTTATGTCCTTCACAGAGCTGTTGTGAAGATTCATGAGAGAGTGTTGGCAAGGCACACAGTTCTCTGCATTTAGCACTTGCTCCAAAAAGTTAGTGAACCTTCCTCTCACCTAGGCATTTTGCATTACATCATCCAGCATAGAGTTTTTGCTTGAAGACAGACTCAAAAAATGTCTGAAAGGGTAAACGTGCCAATTCACACCACTCAATATTCAAATCTGAATCCTATGTGTTTTGTCCCTTTGCTCCCATTTCCTTCATTAAACCTTTTCTTCCTGGAACAATTTTCTTAATTTCATTCCCCTTGCCAGCTGTCTCCTCTCCTGAAAATCAACTTGCGGTATCATTGAAGCTGATTACAAGGGAACCAAAGACACGCCTAACACAGTTCTGAGGTGAATATGATCAACCTTTGAAGAAGCTAAATAACTGACAACCTGTCAATATAACCTGTCCCCTGCTGGAGCGCTCAACAAAAAGTAATTAAGGTACATAAAGAGATGAGAGAAATGAAATTTACCAAAAAAACCCTGATTGCAGGTGGATGGTTTTTAACAGTTCAGTAACCCCTGATGACCCAACCTACTCTGGGGCATGGCTCTCTTTTTCATTTGTAGAGGACCCAGGCCACCATCAGTCCCAAAGACTCGATGTTGGTGGGAACCCTCTAAGGCTGTGGAGCCTCCAGTGGGCCGGATTTGGGTGTCAGAATGGAAACAATTTGATCACTCAGGCCAGGTGGTGAGTCCAACTTGATCTTCACTTATTCAGCAGCTGTTTTGGCAAACCTTAGCTTAAGCGCCTTGGGCATAACGTGAAAGGGTGAGCACAGGTGGGAAAGTGTGACTCATTTCTCCTTGCACCTTCTTGAAGGTCAGCCCAATGCCAAAGACACCTTGGTGAGAATATATGGGTGCGTGCAGTTGCCTGATCAGAAGGATCTCCTGGATTTTGCCTTGGGCGCGGGGATAACGGGAACGTGAATAACAGGGGGGTTTGGGGGTGTGTTGGATTCGGAGGTGGGACAGTGGTCTGGGAGTCTAGGGCGGGCTTGGGGAGTGCTGGGGGGAAGGTAGTGGTGGTGTGGGCTCCTGGGGTGAAGGGACCGGCTCGAATTCGTCTTCATATCTTGGGTCTAGCTCGGTGCGCGGCTCAGGCTTTGCTGTTTGCCAAGCTGTGGGAACCTGGCCTCGGTAGGGAAGTAAGAGGTGGCCCCAGTCAAGACAGCTCGGGCCCAGTCAAGACAGCCAGGCCGCACCCCGACGCGGCGGGGAACTCGGTTCGAGGAGGGATCTTTTGACTTGAGCCCAGAGGGGCTGGCAGCCGGCAGTGGCTGGGCTCCAAGAAAGCCCTGGGGGCTCGCACCCGGCCGAGAGGCCCGCCCCTAACCAGTCCCCGGCTGCCTCCGCCGCGGAGGATCTAGGCAAGACCGCGTGTGGGCGGGATGAGCCAGCCTGCACTCCTTATTGGACAAAGGCCCTTGTCAATCACTGAGGAAACCTGTCTGAACGCGACCGGACATCCGGAATTCCCACCTCAGAGGGAAGCGGGCTCGGGTGGAGGCGGGGAGCGATGGAAGGATGCGATACCCAATGGCAATCAAGAGTTCCGCCTTCGCGGTAGATTGGCAGATGCTTGAACCACTGAGGCGCCGCTAAGGATATTGGCCGTGGAGAATGATTGGTCCAATCTGCGGGTGCGTGGTTCTTCAGACTATATAAAGTAGGCAATTAACACTTGGTTGAAATCGTACTGCAGACGGAGCTCTACTTTTGTTGGTGTTTTGACTTCCGCTAAGGCTCCTGAATTTGGTGAGCTTTCCCTGGAATTATCTAGGTTCCCTTCTCAACTCAGGATCAGGGCTTGAGGATGACGGGTGCTGTACCCCAAATTATGGCCAGATAATCGGAAATGGGTGCTGTTCGGTGAATTAAACCTGAGATTAAATGTTTGGTGGTCAATAGAAAACAGGAAAAGACAGGAACGGGCACTTTACAGGGGGAAAAAAAATGCAAGGAGCACCTAAACATTTGAATGGTTGTGCAAACTTTTACATAATAAGAAAAATGCAAATTAAAGTTTCATTGAGCTAACATTTTTGACCTATCAAATGGACAAAAATCCAAAATTTGACAAGGCTCTCTGTTAAGGACGATGCAGTGGCCCAGATGGTATCGATTTTTCGTCCTCCCGACACTTAAGGACAAACAAATGTTTCCTCTTGCTTTCAGCTTGCAGGGTAGGCTGTTATGGTCATCTGTTAAGTTCTCACATTGACTCCCGGGAACTTTTAAGAACAAATTCTGAGTCTGCAGGTACATTTTTTCGAAGGTGCTTTGATTTTCCTGACTAGTAGCAATACTGAGATCTGGTGGGACATATGGGTGTCAGTTGGAAATGGGTTTTGTTTTAAGAGGACTCTTCTGGCAACTGGTGTGCCAGTGAAGCAGATGAAGTGACAGAAATCATATAAACAGAAGATGGAGCTTATCTGGAAATGGCATCAGAGCCGCCCAAAAATTGTAGCAAGCCAGCAGTGCTTCCACAAAGCATCAGAGGCCCAGTACCTGGGCAACAGAACCACCACCCAGGAAGAGTGTCACATATTCTGGGCACTCCAGACCCTGGCTTCCAAGTCCCCACCAGGTGACAGGTCCTGTCTACCCAGTACCCATCCCTCCCACCCCTTTCTCACAGATCCCCAGTGAGGTCCAGTGGCCCCCTCCTCTGGATGGCTAAGTGTTCAGGGGATGCCGGCCCCAGCCCCAGGCATCTCAGCCAACCATGGTGGTCCCATCTCCTTGCTAGTGATTGGTGAAGGCATGGACACATGACATTCTGGCCAATTGGGACCCAAAAGGGGAGGGTGCACCTGAATTGGTTCCCTCACTCCTAGGACACAAAGAAGAGATGGCCCTTTTCCTGCTCCTCGATGTGATATCTGAACTCCTGCAGCCATCTTGCAACCATGAGGAGAGCTGGTCTGTGACAAAGCCCACAGTGCAAGGAAGACCAAGTTAAGAGAAATGTAGCTTGGGCCCTGACCCTAATGGACCTACAGGCATTCTGCCTTTGGACTCCTCCCGTGCCCTAATTCTCCTTTTGTTTAAGACAATTGAGTTGGAGTTTTCAGTTCTTTGCAGTTGGAACATCTTAGCTGAACCAAGTATAGAAAAGTTCCTTCAGTTTACTTTTCCCATAGCCATGAGAATTTTGACTCACGTACCCACGAGTCATTTCTGTTTGTTTGGTATAATCAGAGAAGAAGGACTGGAAGAAGGAGGTGAAGAAAGAGATATAAAGTGACTACAGGGCAGTGCAAGCTCTGCTGACATGCATTTAGGGGGCAGGGAGATAAAAAACAACCCAGGGGGGTCCTTGGGACCTAAGCGAGAGAACAAACAATACTTAAATCATAACATTTTTAAAAAGCAGTAACAAAAAAGATAAAAATATTTTTTAAAAAAAGAAAAAAGAACTGACATTTGGATATAACAACAGACACACAGATCAGACCCTCCTGCTATGGACTGTCAGCAAAGAAGCAAAAGCAGTTACAGTGATGCGGGGGAGGCTTGGGAAAAACCCTAACAAGCAAGAGAGGATAAAAGAAGGTTCACTGTGATCCCGTGATAATTATTAAATTGTGGTACGTAAAACGCCACTGCTTCTTTTAATTTCGTGTTTAGTTTTATTTCAGCAAATAAAAAATATTCTCAAGAACTTTCTTAGGTTGTCCCTTTAGCGTACCCTCCTAAATTCAGGTTGCTATGAATTTTTCTGCCAGTGGGGTGATCAGATACAGGACCTGGGCAGAATGGAAGAATCGCTGTTATTTCCGTCGTCATGCACTCACTGACTCACTGAACTTTACTGATGTGCTAAGGTGGCCCAGGCTCTCTCTGTGAGGTCATTTTGGCATTTTATTGAATGCTGACTTGTGAGGTTCTCTTTTCCTGCACACATGCCTGGCTTCTCCAAAGGACTTTATTTTTATGTATTTATTTATTTTTGGCCGCGCCACGGCTCGCAGCTTCTTAGTTTCCCGACCAGGGATTGAACCCACACCCTCAGTGGTGAAAGTGCCGAGTCCTAACCACTGGACCGCCAGGGAACTCCCCTCTACACGACTTTAATCTCTCTAAAGGTAGGACTGTGTTGTGTATTTTATTTCCATTGACAGCGTCTAGCACAGGTCTAGGTGTGTGATAAGCACTCATAGAAGTCTTAATTATATATAAAGTAAGTCTCACGCTTAAATAAGAGAAACTTAGAGGGTCTTAACTCTGATACTGTTGCTTTGGTCCAGGATCGAAGGTGAGTCTTCGAATCAGACTTTTTGCTTTTTAGGGATGCTCCCCTACCGCTTGCTTCCATACAATTACAGAAGTGTCCAGAAATCCTTCTAAGGAAGAAGAAGGTGTAGTGTTATTAGACTGGATGCTCAGGCAGTGGGACCCGATACTCATCCCACAGCACCCCTGAATCCTTTCAACACCATGTGCTGGGGTTGCTGAGGCTTTGAGCCAGCCCTTCTGGGCCGCTGCCTGCTCAGGGTCTGCACGGAAGGTCGAATTTGGATCAGATGACAGCCTCGGAGGGGAGCCCATGTGACAGCTGGAAGCTCACCAGCAGGCAGAAGCCAAGCAAGTCAGGGATTTTTCTTCTCTGAAGACAACAGTCCTGATTCCTGTGACATGATACCTAAATTGCAAGAACTGAGCAACTCTGTATATGATCTACCTCTACATCTATGTATATGAGATAAACTGAAGCCTACAGAAGTCTGACGGTGGCACGGGCTCCGGTCCTGGGCCGGGCTGGGGCAGAGTCATGGCCCCGCCGTGGCAGCATCTTGACGGGTGGAGGCGCCTACATGTCGTAGAGCCGGAGCTGGTCCTGCACGTCGCCATCCGACATCTCGCCAAACGTCTCCTTGTTGTCCTTCATGAGCTTGAAGATGGCAGCCAGCTGTTCTTTCTGAACTCTGTCAAGAAGAAAGGATAAAGAGGAAAAAGATGCTCCCAAACCAGGGGAGAGAGAGAGAGAGGCCGTGCACATCCCGTGGAGTCCGGACACTCCTCACTCCTGTATTACTGCTTTGCTTTCCAGAATAAGAAGAAAACGAAACTAAAACAAAACCCACTCTTAACACAGGAGCTGATTTGGTCTAAAAAAACTCAACTTGAGACTTCTACAAACTGAGGTTCCAAGTCTTGGGTTTACCCTGGAGATTTGGGGATCCCAAGTTATCATTCAGGTTCTTGGTGCTAGTTTCCCCGTGGGCCTCCCTTTTTTTTCGGTCGTGCCGCACGGCCTGCAGGATCTTAGTTCCCGGACCAGAGATCAAACCTGGCTCCTCGGCAGTTGAGAGCTCAGAGTCCTAACCACTGGACCGCCGGGGAATTCCCAGGCCTCTCTTTAATGTTGACTACACACCTCCCCGGGAGGCCACGAGGAAGCAGAGGTACTCCATTAGGCGGCTAGAGAGCCTATGCAGACATGTTAGAAACAGACTTCGTTTAGAGGGATGAGCCAAAAGTGGAGGAAGAAGAAACACAGTTGGCTGGGAAACGGGAGCATACAGATGTGTGCACAGGGGCAAGGGTGGGTGTGCGGTCTCGCTGCCCAGAGGAAGGGGCGCCTCTTTCCAGTTTGCACAAAGACACCTTATAGCCAGCAGGGGCCCTGGCCCTTTTACCAGGGAACAGGCCTGGCTGGAGATCGGCTTTATGTTCACCACACACGGGCTGGGGGGCCGGGGGGATGCTGGGAGTGATGTTCTGTTCTCTCTCTGCAGCTGGGCCACGCCATCTGATCAGCACGGGACACCTCCCATGAGTGCAAACATGAAAGGGTGGGGTGAGACTCTGCAGCCACGGTTTGCTTCTTGTTTGTTCTGTTGTGCTGTGCCCATCAGTGAGGCTGGGCGCTGTGTGCTGGCGTGAGCTCCCCGTTCGGTTTCAGGCTTCTGCGGTTCCCCCCACACACACCACCCTACTGGCTCGGCACGGGCCACCTTCAGAGGATGTAAACCAAATGGCAGGGTCTGCTCTGGTCCCTGCAGACCCACCAGGAGGCAGAGCTTCAGCACAGCCTCTGACCCCTGGCCCTGCAGGGCATAGCACTGTCCAACCAGCACCCCAACCCTGTCTACAGGGGGATCCGATCGATGCCTGGTCTTACGCTTGTCCTAACATATTCCTTCTGCAATAACCCCATATCTCCCAAACAGCTAACAGTTGGTTTTCTGACTACAGCAGCATCTAGAAGCTGAAATACCGAAGTCCCAAATCCAAGCTTCTCTTAGTCACGCCGGGAAAGTTATTTCTACAGTCTGCTTTCCTGTCCGGAGGAGAAGGAGCCTGTGAGAAGTACGCGATGCCCTACCACCTGAAGAAAGGAATACTGTGAATTGACAGGCTGTGTGTTTAACTCTTTGGAAGGAATCACAATCCAGGTGTATGAGTGGGCATTCCCCCAAAAGGTACACAAATCCTCTTGTGCGTCTCTTAATGGCCGTGGCGCTTGCATATTTTTAAGAGGGTGGGCCTAGGACTTTGCACTCTGCTGGAGAGTAACAGGCACAAATTGAGAGAGAGCTCAAATTTTAATGGGTTCAAAAAGATGATTTTTTAAAAACAAAGCAAAACTGAAATAAACACACAGTAATCAAGACCATCTACTCAAAGTTTATTGGACCGAACAAAGGCTAAATACACAGATCCCAGCCATCGGGAGTATGTGAGGCTTGGTGCCTACAAGCCACGTTCAGAAAGTGTCCAGACAAACTTAATAACCTGGAAGGAATCACCTACTTTTCAGTCAGACCCTGGCCTGGACAAGGACATTGCTGTTGCTACTGTTGTATGGGTCAGGCTACATGGCTCTGTGTGGCTGTTGCTTTGTTGCCTGTTCCATCCTAAACCCGTGAACCTAAGGTATTAGACCCAGAGGAGAAGGTCCCTGGGAATGTACCATGCCCTAGGCTGACAGTGGACATTTCCCGGCCTTCCACTAAATAGAGGAGAAAAAAAAAATTTTCTATCAACTTACTGCTTTCAAAAAATGTTTTAACCAACACATCTAAAAACTACAGATTAGTTTGGTATAGTATAAATATTGTCAAATATAAAATTCCAAGAAATGAATCTGGGACTGATCAGATTATCTGGAGAAGTTCTAGCTCATCTATGAAACCTAGGAAAAGGCAGAATCGAGACAGCTGTTTTAAGCGAACACTATCATTATTGCTTCTGTGAAAGCGAAGGTGGACATTCCGCTGAGCTGGTAGGAACATCAATGAAAAGGCCTCTTAGCAACAAGCGGGCTGGATCCGAGCCTGCTCTCAACGGAGGGTAAGGGCAAGAGGAAGTCAACAGCTGGTTCTGGTTCTTTGCTGCCCACTGATCAATCATCGGGCTCTCGCCCCCACAGCCGAGCCAGCCGAAGACAGAGAGGGGAGCGGGCCCCAAGGGGAAGGAGGGCAGTCGACCAGGCAGCGAGCACAGGCAGCGCTCCCTCATTTGTCCATCACACCTCAAAGTCTTTCCTGGTTTGGCTCTGGTGATGAAAAGCAGCAGGGCTGGAATGAAACTACACCGATTTTAAAATGATGGCATTGCTGACATTGGTGATATCTCAGGTGCAAAGCGTGTGTGGGCAGGAAGGTTGAGTGATAAGGAAAATAAAAGTCCAGGAAAACCCTTCAGCTTAACAAAGCAATCCAGGCAAACAGGGAGGAACGCCTCTACAGGGGAGCGCCACGGGCATTCGGGATCCTCCCAGCCAAGGAAAGTCCTGGATGGGGGCCTAGTCCTGGCAGATTTATGTGGGAAAATGCGCCCCAGGAGCCTGCTGGCTCCTCTCTGGGGATTCCACTTTATCTCTCAAGTTTTAAGATGCCAAAAGGAAAAGCCTTTAGGAGGAGGCTAAGGATAACTTCATTATTCCTCGGTTCTGTAAAGAGAAATAAGGAGAAAAGATAATTTATTTCACTCATGCCGTCTTACAAGTACTGCAGGAAAGGGGGAAACGGGGTGAGGAAGGGGAACGTCCGGAATTGCAGAAGCCAGCCCAGACGCTGGGATCCAGACCCAGGGGAGTTTGCCTCTCATCACCTGCTTCAGGAGAGCCCACTAACCGAAGGCAGCCCGAGACCCCGTTCCAAGTCTGCAAGGCCTACAGGGGCAGGTCAGGGCCCACCTGTAGGTGGTTTAGCAGGTAGGGTGCCCTTGTAGGTAGTTGAGCAGGTCAGGGCCCTCATGTAGGTGGTTGTACAGGTTGGGTCCCACCTGTAGGAGCGAGGCAGGTCAGGTCCCACTTGCAGGTAGTTGGTCGGGGAGCAGCCTCAATAAGGTAGCTGGGCAGGTCAGGGCCCACCTGCACGTAGTTTAACAGGCAGGGTCCCACTGGAGGTAGTTAGGCAGGGAGTGTCAGACTTTACGTAGCTGGGCAGGTAGGGTCCCAGAGCAAATACTTGGGCAGGGCACGTCTCTCATTTGGGTATCTGGGCAGTTCGGGTGCCCATGGGGGTAGTTGAGCAGGTTGAAGCCCACTTGTAGGTGGTTGGCAGGGAGGGTCCCACTTACAGGTATTTGGGCAGTTCGAGTCTCACATGTGGGTGGTTAGGCAGGGAGGGTCCTCAATTAGGTAGTTGGGCAGGGAGGGTCCCATGGTAGGTAGCTGGGCAGGGAGGGTACCACATGTTGGTATATGGGCAGTTTGGGTCCCACATGTAGGTGGTTGAGCAAGTCGGGTCCCACACATGGGTAGTTAGACAGGGAGCATCCTCAGGTAGCTGGGCAGCTTGGGGCCCACTTGTGCACAGTTTAACACAGAGGGTCCTCAATTAGGTAGTTGGGCAGGGAGGGTGCCACAGGTGTGTTGTTGGGCACGGGGTCCACATGTAGGTCGGTGGGCAGGTAGGGTGCCACAGATATACTTAGGTAGGTAGGTCAGACTGCGGGGGTCAGATCCTCAGCTTTGTGGCCGCTCTGGGCTGGTCCTCTCTGGGCCAGTCCTCTCACCATAGATTATTTCTTATCCTTGCTGGGTAGGTTTTGTCCCTTCTGGGGACAGTGGCTTCCAAGGACATGTGCTCCCCAGATGACACAAATGGTGTGCCCACCTTTTGCAAGGGACATGCAGAAGCGCTGGTTTACTGAAAAGCGCGAGACTTACTTTATATATAATTAAGACTTCTATGAGTGCTTATCACACACCTAGCGCTGAGGGAAACCGGGGGGATTCAGTTTTATCCCTCTGGCGCCCTCATGTGGAAGTGAGTCAGCACGTGTTCCTAGAAATTCACGCTGGTGGATGGTTTGTGGACCCATCAGAGGGCAGGAAGCGGGAAGCAGAGCCGTTCACCCTCGCCGGTTATGCACTTCAAAGCACCACCCACTGGAGTGGCGTCCACTTCCAAAACCGTCAGGCCAGTCCGGGGACCTTCAGAATGGAATGGGTGCTGGGGTCCTGGGTCCTCACTACCAGAGCCAACCTAGTCTACCTCCTGGGTTCCACTTTTCCCCTGGACCAGAAGATGGGAAGAAGGGACGGTGTACAAGGAAAGGAGTAGCCGATGGTGCCTCTTCTTTTTGCTGCCGAGCTAGAAGTCAGCCAAGCTCGCCAGCTTCACTGGCCCTGGGGGTGAGGGGGTGGCATCTTGCCGCGGGGAGCAGTCATAACCTGCAAGCCCAGTGTCCCAGCCACGCTGAGGCTGGATACGGCACCTCCCAGCAAAGCTGCGGGGGGAACGCAGGGGCACCCCCATCCCGGCAGAGGCAGTGCTGAGGGAGCCTGTGAGCTCCAGCCCCACGGGAGACCCAGCAGGAGGTGGGCACACAGTGAGGAAGCAGGGTCTTTCTTAAGCAGCATGTCTGGATTTACAAGCCTTACACTTTCTGCCCCTTGGGCAGAAGGAATCTCGTCTGTGAGCTGCTCCAAGGACGGGAACGCCCAGTTATTAATCACGTGGAGGAACGAATTTGGGGTCTCTTTCTCTGGGTCCTGCGTACCAAGTGCCAGGCCCTGAAAACCTGTGAGCTGCAGCTTCTGAGGAACTCTGGGTCTTGAGGCTACTAAAGATTTAGGGTCTAGATACTGCTGTGCGGGCCGAGGTAAAGAATTTAACGTCAGGGGTTTGCAGCATGGGCTTTTAACCAGCTTGCAACTGACGGGGACGCTGAATGCCAGGAAGGGAATAAGAAGCAAGCAGAGTTTGGTCCAGAAGAATCTGACAGGCAGAGAAGGGCACACACTTTTCACTGGCCTGTGGTTTTAGTGGTTTGACAGTATTTTTCACACTGACAATCCCAAAGGCAGTTTCCTAGACGCAGCTGGGACCAGAGCTGTCTCACACCCGTCCGCTCTCCCGGTCCCCACTGGAGCCATCGTGCTACAGATGAAAACGCAAAGCCACGCTTGCCAGCCTCTGCGACCCCAAGCATCACCATGCGGGGAACATGCGAGAGGGGTGGGTGGCGGGGGCCCCACGCAGTGCTGAGTGGGCTGACCACGTGCAGGGGCAGGAGGGAGCAAGCGGACCTCACAGGCAGACGTGTCGGACAGCCACAGGAGCATGCTGGGAGGGGCAGTGATGAGGGTGAACATGAACTCCAGCCCCACCCTGGGAGGACCGTGTTCACCATGAAGTCCACCAGTCCCTCCTCAGCTCAAGCACGATTGTGATAACCAAGCCTGCGGGTGAGGAGGTGAGAAACCCTCACCCCAAGAGCAGCGCTTGGGCGGTCTCGACCCCGCAGAATAGCTCAGCGTGAACCACTCATCTAGAGACCCCCAAAGATCCAGTAGGGAAAGACCCCCCCCTGGGCAACGCAGAGCCTGCTGTCTGAACACGACGGAGGAAGGACTTTCCCTCCCCGAGGTCCCAGCACTGAACCCAGGGACGGTGGCAGTCTGACCCTGGCCCGAGCCCTGCCACTGAGTCGGCTAACTGGCCTCTCCTACTCTAATGGCCCCTCATCTCCGCAGAGCACACAGAATAGGGCCAGGGTCCCGGTCACAGCCTCTGTCCACAGGGCCCTTCGAGGGGCCACAGGCACGTCAAGCCCCCTCCATCCTTAACTCTGGGGCTGCACACCTTTTCTGGAAGGGGCCCCGTACTGACTCTTTTCAGCTTTGTGGGCCACGTGGTCCCTCTGCAGCTACTCAGCTCAGCCACGGCAGTGGAAAAGCTGCCACAGACCACAGAGAACAGTGACCGCAGCCCTGTTCCAGTCACACTGGATTTACAAAAACAGGGCTGCGGTCCACCAGCCCTTGCTCTGATCATAACACCCTGCCTCACCCACAACTTGGGGGCACAGGGTTTCTGCCGGGCACCGTTCTACCTTCTCAGGGAAAGATGAAAGCTGCGGGCGTGATACCACGCAGTCCAGCGGAAGACAGTTCCCCCCAGCCTCACAAGGGGGCGCTGGCCCTCCAACCAGCTGGCCCATTAGGCCCAGGAGGGATTTGCGTTAACTGGGCCTCCAAGAACCCTGCAGCCCTGGGAAGGGAGCCTGTTCACCCAGGAGCCCTGCGCTGGAGAAGAATGAGCAGGCCCGGGTGCACAGAAATGAATTAATTGGTTATGAAGGCAGCGGAGGAGGAGAGGTTTGGACCACATTCAGTCGTGATGGGGACACAGTAACAGACAGGATGAGGGAGGCACCACTAATCTAAGAAGTCAGTCTCCTTACCAAAAGGATTTGCAAGGATATTTGTGCCTCAGGACCTAAGGAACTTGCTACAGGGAAGTGAGGTCAGAGGTCAGCTCAATCCTGAAATATAAAGGCAGCAAACCGGATCACACCCAGAGGCAGCGGCTGGGCACCGAGGAGTGGGGGGCTTCCCCAGGCTGGGCTCACCCTGCCACCCCTCCGCCCCCGGTGAAGAGCCTTCCAGGCCAGGTTTGGAAGGACTGGCGGCGGCTCCAGAAAGGGAAAGGGGGTTCTCGTGGGCACAGGGCCTTCTGACTTGAGGGGTACAGAGTGGGCTTGGTGATAATGAAAGGGTAGTTGAGATCTGCATCCTGGAATAATAAAGCCTCCATTCCTGACCCTAGAACCCAGCTTACGCTAGCTAGGAAGTAGGGGGTGATCACCCAGCCCCTCCGGGTTGCTGGGCTCAGAAAACACAGGCCCCCATTTAGCTCTGTGCTTAAACCAGAGGACCCCAGGCCACAGGCTGGCCCGTGTCAGACCACTGGTTCTCGCCCATGGCCTGTCCCTACTGCTCCTTAGGAGGGAAGCCCAGGGGTGTGCATGGGTGCCCGGCTGGGGGCTGGCGGGGCAAGAGCCCAATTCTAAAAATGAGGAGCTGCGTGGCTGCAACTGCCTCAGAGCTCCGTGGAGCAGAACAGATAAAAAATGACTGCTGGCCCTGGGCTGGGGGGTTCGGGGGGTGCCGAGGGGGGTTGGTGGCCAAGTGGATGAGCAGGAAGAACCATGCTGTGTCCTGCAGTGATGGATTGGTTTTGTCATGAACCCTCCGTGTAAGTGAACAGGCGGATCTGCTCCAGGCTCTTCCCAGGCATCTGCTTTTTCCCTTTTGGCTGGGGAGGGGTGGGGTGCAAGAAGGGGCTCGGCCACCCTCCCCCCCATCACCGCCACACGCTCCTCCCGAGGGCCCCAAGGGGACTGTCGGGGGACATCGAGCCTGGCCGACTATTGCCAGGACAGGGGGGAGAAACCCCTAAAATGGAAATGGAAGAGTGCGGAGCTGGCGAAGCTTACAGGAGGCCCTCCTCCTCTCCCGCCTGCGACGAAGGGGGCTCACGGCGGTACCGGTACTGGAGAAAGCTGAGCGACCCCGAAGAGGGTGGGCGGCCTACCTCTGTTCCTCCTCCAGTTCCTCCTTGGTCATCATCTTCCTGTACTGGTTTCCCCTCAGCTTCCCGGGGCTGTATTTGAAGGAGAAGGCCTCTCCCCCTGCAGAGAGGACACACAGTAAGAGCCAGTTAGGGTGCTGGGCCCGCCTGCAACTTCAGGCCCCTTTCCCTTCCAAAGAAGGGTTTCCAAAGAACCATCTGGGCCAGAGAGGGTGCCCCCGCTTCAAAGAGGGGCAGATGGGCCCCACGCCCACCCCGCGCCAGCTCACCTAAGCCTCAGAGAGCGCTGGACGCCCACATCGGCTCACCCTCCCCTGGGCCTGGCAGGTCCTCCCCCCACACCACTTCAGCTTAGGAACTCTCTTGGGAACTTGAACCGGGGATGAGGCAGCTGGAGTGAAGCGAGCATCGCCGCCCCACCCCCACCCATGCTATTCAGTTCCATCCACCAAAGGCCGGTTCCCTTCCAAGACCAGGTTGAGCCGTCCACAGAGCTGCCTGTGGGCCCCTCTCCAGCAAGGGCTCTGGCCCAGCAGCCGCCCGCAAGGCTCTTCTCCCCCTCAGCCTGCCCCCCCCTCTTCCCCATGACTGCTGTGCTAATTACACACTCGGAGGGCCCTTATCTCTGGGAAGCAGCCTGTGCTAAGGCGCTGGGTTCCCTGCCTCTCCTCGGGTCCCAGGTCCGGAAGGCTGCAGGGACCCCCGACCCTCCTGCCAAGGTCCTCGGGTTTCCCGGGCTTGGGGGTGCCCGCCCTGCCGTCCAGGGGCATCATGTCGGCAGGCCCCTTCTCTCTATGCCCTCCCCGCAACCAGTTATTAAAAATCTGAAACAACGCATCCAGCCCACAATGGGACCTGGGAATGATGTGGCCTGTTCTCGCGGTGTTCAAATTGGTCATTAAAGCCAGCACTTAGGGAAGTGCCTGGCGGTCCAGTGGTTAGGACTCAGTGCTTTCACTGCCGAGGGCGGGGTTCAATCCCTGCTCGGGGAACTAAGATCCTGCAAGCCACGTGGCGTGGTCAAAAACCAAAAAAACCAAACCAAAAAACCCCAGTACTTATTGCTGAACGGGTTTGCCAGTCCCAGAGCAGACCCCGTAGCTGCCTTGGAACAAATGAAAGGGCAGCTCTAGAGGTCTGAAGAAGGCACACCAGGGGGTGTGGACAGAGGAAAACAGGGACGTGTGATGTAGGGAAGCCAGGCCAGAGGAGGCAGCACGTACAGGTGAAGGCTGCAAGGGCAGAAAAGGAAAGAGCTCTAGAGCATTCCCCTGGCTGAGTGTCCAGGTGGAGAGAGTTCCCTTAGGAAGCAATGCCCTTATGTGGTCCTTCAGCCCAGCAGGTGGAGGGTAGACGGCCTCCGGTCAGCCTCGGGGATAGAGGCTCAGTGCCTGTCTTATCTAATTTCAGTTAATGTATAAAGAATTGAGTATGGGAAATGCAAGACCAGCAAATCACCCTCCCACACGGATGTATTCTTTTTCACTTCTGTTCTATGTCACTCCAGTGTCAGGGATCTCAAACACCTTCACATCCTGCCCTGGGCCACCCGGACCTCCTCCAGCTGGCAGCTGTCCCGAGTGATCAGACAGGCTGATGTGGGCTCCAGGGAGGTAAAGGCTGCAGCCTCTGAGATTCGAGCTCTCTCTGGGCTAAAAGAAGGTTCTGGATGCAAATTCAGAACCCAGGAATTGTAGCTGGGGTGGTGCTTGCTCTCACCACAGCCTGACTTTGCAGGAGAATCTGGCCGCCAGGGCTGAGCCCTTGCCTTAGGAAGTAGTTACCGTGTTTGTACCAGGATTAATTCGCTCTTCATTCATTCAGCAAATACTTGGCGAGCACTCTGCTCGGTGCTGGGGACTTAGCAGAGAAGAAAACATACAGCAAGCAAAGATGAGTAATTAAAATACAGAGTTTGGGACTTCCCTGGCGGTCCAGTAGTTAAGACTTCGCTTTCCATTGCAGGGGGTGCAGGTGTGATCCCTGGTCGGGGAGCTGAGATCCCACATGCCTCGTGGCCAAAAAAAAGACTTAAAAAAGGTCCATGTTAAAAAATCTTATAAAATAAATAAGTAAAATAAAATAAAATACAGAGTTTGCAGTAGGTCCTGAGAGCTCTCCAGAAAAGGATAGCAGGAGGGGAGAGAGAGGCAGGGAGGGGGCTGCTTGGAAGTTTAAGCGGGGGGCGGGGGTGTCAGAGGGGCTTTACAGGTGATGCTGCAGGTCTGGGGAGACAGAGCCAGCAAAGCAAGGAAGCCAGTGGCGGGGGGGGGGGGGAGGAAGCAAGGGAACAGGAGAACACGGGGTGAGACGCCAGGCTGCCAGGGCAGACAGGATGACTCCCCCCGACCCCCCAGCCCCGGAGACCCCGCTCCCATCAGCTTCTCTTCCCTCCAGGCTGAGCTCAGCTCAGGCTGATGAGCAAAGGGCCCGCAGCATCAGGAGCTTCTAAAGGCTCAGGGCTTGGGCTGCAGTGTCCCGGCACCTGGGAACTCTGCTGAGTAATCTGGGGCCGCCGTTTGAGGGGCCTGGGTGTTTGGTTGTCAGGGAAGAACCTGCCATGGGGCAGAATCACACGGAGCTAGTCTCAGAGTGAGCTCGCAACCATGCTGGCTTCTGGACCTCAGAAAGAGGCAACGCACAAAGAAGACGGATTAACTTCGACTTCAAGGTCATTGTGTTGCTATGTTTTAGCCAGCTGGGTACTACTCACGGTTTCAATCTGTGGGGCCGCTCTGACTGTGCTGCTTCGAGCCAGAGGGAACAAACCACTCGAAAAGGCTTTCACTTAATCACATGTGGTGTGACGAGGGATCCACAGCAGCCTCCAATTTTGCTAGACCAGGAGGGTTCAACGTGAGAGCCCCCTGGGAGGGGGTACTTCCTCTTGCAGTCTTCTGAATCCACCCAGCCGCGTAGGGAAGGCACCTTAGCAGACACTGAGCTGGCTCACTGCAGAGGGGCTGGGGGCCTCCCACGTTTTCTGCTGACAGCTGGGGCCCTAAATCTCTCCTGCCTCTGCCTTGTCAGGGCTGGGAGGAGGCGGCTGGTGGATGGGCGAGGTCCAGGAGCAACAGTCAGATAAGGACGGAGGGCCCGGAGACACTGCCCACGGCTGGGAGTGGGGCTGCACATCTATGGGGTCTGACAGTGTTTCAGAAGAGGGGTCTGCTGAGCCTCCCCTTGTGCTGGCCCAGGGGCCTCCAGCAGCCTTGGCGCTTCCCTTCTGTGTCCCCAAATCACTACTGGGATCCAATAACGTGGCAGGGACAGACCCTAGGCCCACGGTTCCTGCAGAGGATCTGGGGAGTCAACAGCTGGAGGGAGAGCCCCTGGCAAGGGGCTGATGTCCAACCCCCCCCAGCCCCCCCCCCCGCCCCCCCGCAGCCTCCTGCCCCTCCCTCTTCCTCTAAGGCTCTATTGATAGAAACTGAAGGCCCATCCCTGCTGGGCCTCAGGGGAAGCTTCCCCACCCCCCATCCCAGCCCTGCCTGCCTGGCCCACACCAGCCTTGGTTACTGCATTCCTGCAACCTTCTCTTTCCAGGGCTCCTGCCAGTTGTTGGCTTAAAATCACAGCAACAGACTCCCTTTTTAAAAAAACATGAAATATTTCGAATGTACACAAAAGTACAGCAAGTAATAAGTCCTCCATGTACTTGCCATACAGATTTGACAAATGTTGACATTTTGCTGTTTTTGCTTCAGCTTCTTTTTTTTTTCTTTAAAGAAATAAAACACGACAGAACCAGCAGAAGCCCCACACCGTGTCTGGTCCTGTCTGTCTGTCTGGGGCACTGGTCCCCGTGGGTGGCCAGAGCAAACACACTGTCTTCTACCCGGTCAAGTCAAAATTGCTCAATGCTCCCGGTCACTCCCTTTCTCTTCCCCTAGCTGCCTGGAACCTGATGGCCACACTAGTCAGCTGGAGCTGCTTCGGAATCAGGCGTTTCCTCTCTGGGGGACTTTAACCTGCAGAACCCTGGGAGGCAGCCCTGTAAGTGGCTTGTCTCCATAAAATAGGTCGGAGATATTTGGAGAGAAATGTGAAATGTACAAATAGGGGATGAGAAAGGAGTTAAGAGGCACTGCAGGAAACAGAAGGTCAGTGACGGGCCACCTGTATTTGGAGACAACTCACATTGTATAAATGGAAAAGTAAAGGCCGAAAGAGCAAAGCAGGGACTTCCCTGGTGGTCCAGTGGTTAAGACTCCAGGCTTCCACTGCAGGGGGCACTGATTCAGGTTAGATTCCTGGTCAGGGAACTAAGATCCTGCCTGCCACACAGTGCAGCCAAAACAAAAAAAAAAACAAAGAGCAAAGTAGGTGGTCAGGGAGATGGGTGCAGGAAGGCAGGGGGTCAGAAAGGAGTGGGCTCCAGCCTGTGTCCTCTGGGTTGCGGCAGACACGGCTTCGCAGCCCCTCTCCTCTATCCTCTCCCCCTCCATCCTCTCCCCTCCCCCTGCCACTCAAATCCTCAGCTGGGGAATCCAAAGGGCCGTGGCACAGCCTAGCCTCCACAGCCAGACACGATCCGGGCGGCCTCAGCGGGCAGCGGTGCGCGGATCCCACTCACCGTCGTCTTCCTCAGGTCCTGCCAGGGGTGGGCCCTCCACGCCATCCAGGTCCTTTTCCTGCAAGACAAGGGGAGGGCTCAGTGCTTGAGCACCTGATTTACATGTTTGATACTGTCATTCAGGGTTTGAACCCCCGGTCAAAGCAACCTGACCCCTGGGTCTGCTCTTAGGATAGATGTGCTTGGGGACCGGAAGAGGGTGACTGCCTCGGGGAGAGGGGGCATTGGTGGACAGGACGTCGCGGGGAGAGGAAGGGACTGCCCAGGGCCAGCCTGACCACTCACAGCACCCACGCTGTCCTTTGAGCGTGGCCAGGAGGTCCTGAGTGGGGGCCACGGTCAACAGCAGGTGGAATCAGGGACATCAGCAGGAATTCCCTGGTGGTCCAGTGGTTAGGACTCGGCGCTTTCACTGCCGTGGGCTCAGATTCAAGCCCTGGTCAGGGAACTAAGATCCCGCAAGCCATGCGGTGCGGACAAAACACACAAGCCAAAAAGGAAACAGGGACGTCAGTGCCTGAAATTTTGACCTTTGCACCTCGGTCCCTTTGCCTTTTCCAGGTGGGTGCTGGTCAAGTGGTGGGTGCCACTTCGATAAGTGGACTGGGCGACTCCCACTCCTGGCTATAGTGAGTAGAACAAAAGGCACGAGAGGAAAGCTGGCGGGTGCTCTGGGGTCCGGGCTGGGCTGGGTGTCACAGAGAAGCTGCGTTTGTGGTCACAGGCTCCATCTCTGCTTCCTTTAACATTGTTTCCATCCCTGATCATTTCAGGCTCCATTTTCCCAAAATGGGAGCTCCACCTCCCTCAGCCTGGTTCTCTCCCACGCACACACGGACAAAATAAACAGAAGGCTGGAAGGAATGTCCCGGGATGGCCTTGTGTAAGGCAGGAGTGACTTCAACTTGCAGGAATGTTGGAGGATGACAGGGAGGTGCGGGTGCTGGGGCTCTGAGGGACTGAAGGGCCAGGGGACCTGCGGCCCGAGGAAGTCCAGCGGCAGACAAGGCAGAGTCGGCAGGTTTAGGAGAGGCGAGCCCGACGTGAATGAGCTGCCCCACGGGGGCCGAGACAGCGCGGTGGACTAATCCAAACCCAGGCCTTCAGGCTCCCGGCCCGGGGGTCCAGCGGTTTGCAGCCTCAGCAAGCCGGGCAGGCAGGCGCCCCAACAAAGCAGAGAGAGCTCAGCTGGGAGGCAAAGTTTGCACAAAGCCCAAGAGCCGGTCCTAAGTGGCAAAAACCCAAAGGGCCTCTCGTTGTGACTTTCCCTCTCGCTGGACCCCACAAGATGCGGCCGGGCGGAGCAGGGCCGGAGGCGGGAGCTGGCTCTTCTCCACTTAGCAGTTTGCATCAGGCTCGGCGCTGTCTGATGTGAGGCACGCTGCCCTGAGCGCTGGCCAGCACCTGGGGCTCGGGTGTCCAGACGCCTCCGGGATTTTGCCCAGCAGAGCGTCTCTGTGGCTGCAGGGGAAGGCAGGCCTCTTTGGGGGACAACGGAGACACCCCTTTGACTCAGCAAACCCAGTTCTAGGGATCTGCTCTGGGCTGGAAAACCATCTATCTGGGTTTTTATACGAGGACTCTGGGTGCAGGGGAGAACAAGACAAAACTGGGAACAACTAAATGTTCATCCACGGAGTTAAATATAGTATAGTTAAGTATATTATAGTTAAACAGTTTGGTCCGTACGTTCACCAAAATATTAACACCTTAAATATATTACAGTGCACGCATACACTGGGCAACACTGCCTTAAAAAGGAGGCGACTGGGGACTTCCCTGGCGGTCCAGTGGTTAGGGCTCCACGCTTCCACTGCAGGGGGCACGGGTTCAATCCCCGGTCAGGGAACTAAGATCCCACATGCTGCGCGGCACAGCCAGAAAAATAAAAATTGTAAAAATTAAAAAAAAAAAAACCTAAAAAGGAGGCGACCATACGTACCGATGTGAAAAGCGCATTGAGATACACTACCAAAGGGAGAAGCAAGAAGCAGCACAGGGTGGAGAGTGCAACATTCTTGGTGTGCACGTCAAGACAGAAGTGCACATAAACGCTCATAAATGCGGAGAAAACGTTTTCTAGAAGGACACTCAAGACACCGATAACAGCGACCGCCTTTGGGGAGAGGAGCTGGTTGGGGGCGGCCTTTCCTCTCCATCTTACACATTTCAGTATAATTTGGATTTTCTAATAACAGGCATGAATTGCATTTTTAAAATGCTACACAGGGATCTCTGAACAGTGAGCTTGGGGCTACTATATATATATTTCTTTAAAAAAAGAAAGAGAAAAAACACAGGAAGAAAAACAGATTAATCTAATCAGGGCTGGAGCCCAGAAATAAGCCCAATGTCAAGACTAGAGAGTAGGCCAGTTTTCCTACTATGTCGAGGGACACAAAGGCTAAAGGAAAAACAACAAAAAAGCAAGCACAGCCCCTTCGTGAAGGAGCTCACAGTCCGGCAGGAAAGACACATACCCAGATAACTGCCACCCAGGATGGTAAGTTCAAGGACCAAGGCAGACCTCTTTACCCCAAAGAGACACGGCGTCAGTTGACCTGCCAGCACCCCCCTGGGGAGAGACTGGTCTACATTTGGATTTTGCACTTGACTTTTGAAGTGTGGTACTTTTAAAACTGGTTATGACCCATTGGTGAGTCACGAAAGCAATTTAGAGGTTGCTACTAGTATTTAAAAGTTGTGCAGCCAACGTCTTAGTGTGATTTTAAGATTTAATAACTTCAGAAGCATAAATGCTCCCAACACACCAAAAAATGTCATTTGAAAGGTTAGTTATCTACATTTTAAATATGTTGACGTTTCTTATCCAGATTCATATAATACCCCCGTCTAGTGGCTCTAGCTGATTTTCAGACTTTGGAAAACCATTCATGGGCGGATGGTCAGTGACTAAAGGGATTGCCTTTGTGAGTCCAGCCTTGTGATCTTATGAGGACTGGAGGCACACGTGACAGTCTGGACATGACCTCAAGGGAGGTCGACCAGGTATCTGAGGTGCCCACAGGAGAGGACTCCTCTACCTGCCTGTCCGTCCAGATTCCAGCACTCACAAAGACTTAAAATGAAAAACACAGCATTCAAATGTCAGGAAACTAAGTATAAAAGGAATTTAAATAAGTAAATACTCAACTGATGTATTTTGTAGGTTTGTAGCATTTACACTTCTTCAGTTATTAAGACTTAAAACTACACAAAGACTTCGGGGGCGACCCTGTACCCCAACATGAAATTAAAGATAAACAGTGGTGTGTGTGCGGTTGATGTAGCTACCGTTTTATAAGACGTCTGTGACTTTATAGACAGGGATTCAATTCAAATAAACAGATTTCTTATTTGAGACTTAATGAAGTTTGGAAAACATTGCTGAATCGGCCATTTACTGTTTTCTGTCTGCACAGAAACCCCCTTCTTTCAGAAGATGCCCTTTGAAGCCTGTGGTCCTGGTGGGAACTGCCAGTCGGGCAGTCAGACCCCCCCCCCCCCCACCCACACACACCACGATAGGCAGGGCAGGCGGATGTGACCCAGGGCCCAACTTCTGCTTGGGCACAAGGGACCTCTCATTCCAGAACTGGGAGCTCGGGAGCTGCCCAGGGTCGCCGGGGTCGGGAGTCCCTGGCTGTTCCACCCCTGCCTCCCCAGTATGTGAGCGACTCAAATCCTGGTTCTGCGAAAGCTCACCTGAACCCAGTTTCTGTCACCGACAGCCAGAGTCCTGACCACGGCCACCGTCCACTCACATCCCACTCCGCAAGCCCAGAACATCTCATGTTCTGCCAGGAGGCTCTTGCCTCTGTCAAATACCAGCTGCACAGCAGTGGGGGTGGGTAGGGGGCCTGCTCCAGGGTGGTGCCCAAGGCCTCACATTTATCTGGGTTACTTACTGGTCTTCTAGACAACATCATAATAATGGGAAGCCTTCCATTATTTAAAAAAAGAAAAAGTTTAAAAATCACTCTTTATTGCATTTTGCCCTTATTTTATAAAAAATGCATAAGAGCGACTGAGACCAGGATGGAAGCCCTTCTGGAGGTTGGGACTCTTTGGCCTCAGTCCAGTGCTCTTTGCTTCAAGATGGTGAGCTGTGTGCAAGACAGCAAAGGAGAAGAATAAAGGGAGACCGACCGTGTGCAAAATGCTGGAACTGCTCTGTCGAAGCCTTTGTCTGGAAGAGCAGTCAGTAAGGACTTTACTGGAAATTCCCTGGCGTTCCAGTGGTTAGGGCTTGGCGCGCTCACTGCTGGGGCCCAGGTTCCATCCCTGGTCGGGGAACTAAGATCCCGCAAGCTGCAGAGTGCGGCCAAAAGATAAAGGATTTTACCTGCGTACCTGCTCGTTAACACATCCCATTTTTAAGTTCTGCTTTGGCAGGTACATACCTTATGCATTCAAGCAACACGATGGTGGGGGGCCCTAAGGAGGGGAGCTCAGCTGAGCCCGAGGGGCGCAGGGGAGGCCTTGGAAGGGACGAGAATCCTGAGCTGGGTCTGAGAAGAGCTGGCCAGGCCTGGAACATCCCGGCTTTTCCAGTGACTCCTTGGAGTTTGGTGTGACTGCAGGGCGGGGTGGGAGGCCAGGAATGCAGGGCCTGGGCTAGAGAGCTTATATAGGACAAGGCCCTGAGGAGCCACCGGAAGCTTCAAAGTGCGGAGAAACAGGATGAGAGCTGCGTTTGGGAGCCGTACGTGGGGATGCACTGGCAAGACAGGAGGCAGGAAGGTTCAAAGCACAGGTGAGAGATGTAAGGTCTTGAACCGAGAGGCTAAAGGAATTGGGCCCTCAGCTCTGTCTTTGCTGAATGAGTCTCGAAGGCCCAAGGCGACTCCTCAGGGCTCTCAGGGTCTGAGTCCCACTCTGGGGCTTGCTCTCCTGTGGCTGGTGGGGCAGCCGTGCCCCACAGCTCGGCCAGGACCAGGCCTGGAGGCAGGATGCACCCAGCAGGTGCTCACAGCGCTGACTGCAGATCTCACGAGAGGCCATCACCACTGTTGATTTCTGGTCCATGCCCTTGGTCCTGAGAATGTTGCATGGTAC